CCTTTTGCCGCACTCCAGTATTCTAGTATTCCAACCAAACAACAAAAATTGTTTAAAATGCAACATTATTTGTTCTTATTTTTAACCTATAATTATAATTTCACAAGAAATAATAACTGTCCGGATTTGTTAACATCAATCAGTAGTTAGTTGTTACTTGCAAAAGTAAACAGATTTGTTTGTAATTTTATATCAAAATTCACAGAATCTCATTGTAGAAAACGTAATAACATGTATGTTTGTTAGTTATTAAAATATGTTTACTACATTACCTGTAGTATTTACTTGTCAAGGCAGACGTAAACCGATTTGCTAGAAATTTAATGTAAAATGTCAAAAAATCATGACTAAGAACGTAATGATATTTGTTTTTGTAAATCATCAAAAGTTGTACAAGATACATATTTATACTGAACACATTTATTATGAGTCAGTGTCTCTTGTTTCCGTGGATGTACGTACGCCCCAACAATAGGAGTCAGACCCGGAAAACAAGACGAATAGTGATAGTTGACAGATTCTCTGCCTCACTCTGACCGTTCCAAAACTTAAAATATTTTTAGAATGAACTTAAAATTTGATTATTTTTTTTTCGGGAAGTCGTAACAGTTTGATACGTTTGCCCTTTGCGGTATTATTAATATGGTTTACACAAGAATCTACAGAATGACTGTTGAAGTGATTGACTTTAAATTAAAGAACTACATTTTAACGTTTTATTTTATTTTTTATATTATGATTTAGTTAAAATGAAAATAAAACGTTTAATTTATGTACGTTAGTTTGATGGAAAGTAAATAAAAGAAACGTCTTATAACATTAAAAACATATATTTACGATTATACTGTTACAAGACGGTAAATACACAAAAAAGATGGTAAATGGTTACCACTTACCATCTTTTTTGTACATTTACCGTCTCTACTTGAATACTGCAAGTAGTTAAATCTCATTCACGAGGAACAGGTGTAGTATTGATCTAAAAGTCAATACTACACCTGTTCCTCGTGAATGAGATTTAACTACTCATTGGGAAGGATTGGATTAATATTCCAGCTCCACTCAATATTGCACGCAGAAAACTGCATTGTTGTATTTTCAAACCTCATTCAAGAAAGGGGTGGTGCCAATCTGTCGCGGTGCCAAGCTGACGGCGGCCGCAGAGGTGCCAATCAGTCGTAACAGTACACGACAGATTGGAACCTGGAGAAAGGGGTGTTGCCAATCTGTCGCGGTGCCAAGCTGACGGCGGTCGCAGAGGTGCCAATCAGTCGTAACAGTACACGACAGATTGGAACCTCTAGAAAGGGGTGGTGCCAATCTGTCGTGGTGCCAGGCTGACGTGGGGTGATATTTCATGGCCTCATGTCAACGAGGTTCCAATGTGACGCCGGGTGCTAAAACACCATGGTGCCAATCTGCCGTGGTGCCAATCTGACTGCGACTCTAATCAACCCCACATTATTTATTTTTAAACTCTTTGATTTAATATGATCATAATTATTTATTACCATCTGATATTTAATTATTGATTGATACTGTTTATATCTCAGTGTCCAAAACGTTTCTTTTTCAAAATACAGTTTAACTATTTTTTTTATCTATTACTGTATTTCTCTTATTCTTACCTAAAATACAGTCCACTTATTAATTATCATACATATTTTTTGGTCCTTGCGAGCTTGGATTATATACTTGAACCTTTTATTTCCATTAACTGAATTTTCTAAATTCTTTGATGTTTTAAACCTGTATACCTATGTCTAGGAAGAAAGAAGATCAGATTACTCAAGAGATAAGAGATAACTGTTTTAGAGTTTCAAAGACACACTTTAGCCAAGAATCTCCATTCAATCAGTGTTGACTTAGTTAATGATCCAAAAGCATGGATAACAATTTTAAAGTACGCTTCGATGAACTCAAACCTACTTATAAAGAATTCCGCCGCTGCCACATCAACATTATACAACTCAAAGTTTCACGGGATAAAAAGGCGCATCAAGATAACAAGATTTTTAAATTGATACCCAATATGTATATGAAAATACATTTTTAGGTGTCTATTTGTTGAATACAAAAATCGAACAAATTCTCTTAATAATGTAGATTATTTTCCAAATCCGATGTACAGCTAGTAGTCCATAAACAAATGAAACCATTAAAACAATACAGTTTATCTAGGAACAGCTGTAAGATCGAAGCAACGACTTCATTGTCTGGTCTAGCGTAAGCTTATCCGAATTTGACGGCTGGGCTGTCGTCATAGTAGATAATACTTTGAGTTACAGCAGTTCTCAGCGACGTCTGTGGTTTTTGTTCCTTCCTCGTAATAAAGATATTTTATTGGTCATATCACAGAAGATTACATTTTGGAGCCACCATCTTCTCGTCAGATTATCATCTAACATTCGGAAGTTCTTTATTTTGTGGTTGTATACCTTACCAAGCAAGGTTGGTTCATATTTGTTTGGATACCTAACTAGCAAGGTGTGTTTGTAGCCTAGAAATCTAGTTTTGAAGAGCGCATTATATATTGAATGATTTCGTCCATCAGCGTTTAGAATATACTCATTTTGTAAAAAAAAACCTTCAGTTCAATTGACATGTTCCTACTTCCAGATGACATGTAATTGACAGTTCAAAACCCGAATCTAAACAAAAAGATATTTTAACAACGTTTCAGGTAGGACTGATGTCCTAGCATAGCATTCAGAATAAAGATATATAGATGAGCATCGTTAATACTATGAAAACCATGCACTACCAGGAAGTCATCTTAGGGCAATGATTTACCTTGTAATAAATAATACGGAACACCTACATGACGGATCATATGTTCGGATCTCCAGGGTTTCAATCAATTTCTATCTCAGTGTAAACAAAATAATAGTAAACAAAAAAATAAAATAAAATAATATTACCGCGAACGTAAAGTACAACGCAAATGTTTGGAGATCCATCCTTTTTGGAGGTAAGTGAATATAACTTCCTGTACTAATTTATCCAAATATCAAATTTATTTGTACGGAATTGTCTGGATTTAATTCTATAGTTTAGTTGTACATTTGTATGTAGAAGGGATCAGGCATTTACAACTCATACTTATAAGTTATCAAAACCTAATTTGCTAATTTTAAAATTGGGATCAAGTAGCTATTGAATTCTTAATCAGAATTATATTATAATCCGTTTTGATTAACTACTAATTTGTTTTCTCTTTATTCACCAGTTAATCTCAAAATGAATAATCAATAAATACAATCCTCATTAACATTTATCAAACTATTCAAACCCAACACGAATGAGTGATAACCTGATTAATTAAACCACCATAAATCAAAATCCAATTTGAGATCCACGTCGAATCAAATAAAAGACGTGATTTTCGGGTAACAGATAAGAGAGGTAATTTCGTAAATAACGGCAGCCACACCTGCCCATCTGATAGTGACCACTTACCGTCATTAAATTTGGTATTCAATTTTGAAAAGCAATTATAAGATTTGAAGCGGGGGATTTATGAACGTCGTGACGAGCGGAGAGACGAGAAGTTCCTTCGGGCTTCTGATACGATCTACACGTCAAGGCTTAACTTGTGGTAGGTATCGATGTAACTAAACATACTAGGTAGTAGTTTAGTAACAAATCTGACACAGTTTGTAACTTTTGCCTTCAGGGAGAGAACTGTAACTGTACACTGTTGCTGCATTTTGTACGTTTTAGTTTGAGATTCATAGTAACAAATATGTACAAGACTGTTTTATTTTTCCCAAATTAATATGGATGAGGGGATTTGATTTAATAGAAGATGTAAGAAAACACAAAAAAATGATTGGGTACAGATCAATACTTTGGATTTCAAAGGAAACCTCCAATTATGTTATTAGTTCTAATTAACAGTGTGTGTGTAGATTCTACATAGCTTGTGTAACATTTTTAAAACCCTAGTGAGGTACATCAATATTAATTTTTGGGAAACTCTTGTTTTATAACGGCATGTGTAATATACATTTTGATTGGGACAGTGGTGTCATCCTGTAATCCAGTTACTTTGAGGTCATGAATTGTGGATATTTATAGGCGTGGCCTGTGGATGCGATACTCCCTGGTGTGGAATAACGTCCGCACTGGTGAGTACTACGACTATCCGCGGAATCATTATGATAATTCTACCTATTTCTACATATTGATAAGAAACTATGTTTTTAAAAAGCAATATAATATTAGACACGGTTTATTATGCAAATTCCAATAAGTATGTAGTATGGAATCCTTCTTATAATATGTAATTTCGAGAGGAAGTATTCTTCTCTTAATAATATTCTTTGTTTTTTCAACTATAGATCAATTGTAATTTTGTTACAATCCCTCCTCCTGAAAATATGCATGTGCAAGGAGTATAATAAAAATATAAAACTACAGCATTCGCAATATTACTTACTTTATCACAGTAATTCCTTTGCTAATGATGGTTTCATTTAGTTTTAAAGAAATGCCTGTATAGAACTTGTACAAATCTATTTTTCTGGTGATAGTTTATTTAGAAAATATAGTTTAGGTAGCAGCCAAAACCATGATATTAATTTAATGCACGGAAATCAAAACAGAAATTTAAAGAAGAAACTTAAGGAATTTGGTTTAACGACAATATGTTTTCATTTTATTGTAATAGCTCTACGAGAATTTACACAGGCTCATTGACACAGGCTAAGCAGAATGCTATTGTAGAATAAGTTTAGAATGGAGTTGGACAACATTTGCAGTTTTGTTACTGACTAAGGCAAGCTATTTAAGGAAATTTTAGAACCATATATTTTCTTACTTTATAGCAAAAGGGAAGCTTAGTTTACTATTGAACCATAAAATAATTACTGACCTGTTCAAGATTGAAACAGGATCTTTTTCTTTACAAGATCAGTATAAGATATAATTAGACACTCTTAAGTCCAATTTACAATTCTTGTTAGCGGTTTAAATATTTAGGAAATAATAAAACAAAATAATAAAAATAACAAATTATATTTACTCTGTAAAATCAACAACTCACATTTGAAATGTCTTTACAACCTAGCGTATAACAATATTAGACTGCGTTTTAAACACAACAATAAATACTTAACACAATAAATATGGCTACGTGTGAATAGCTAAATAACAAGTTGGTATCACAAAAGATACGTAAGTCCGACTTAGAGGTTTATACAACATGTATTATAAATGAATACTATTATCACATACATATTATTTACAGAGATTTAAACAATTATTAGAACGTTAATGTGATATAAATAGTTTAGTCACAAATTGCAAATTTAAGATAAGATGTAAGCCAATATGATTGTTCTTCAAAAAGTGCAATACAAAATACAATAGCAAAATGTGTCACGTGTGGTATTTAACTAAACAAATGATAATAAATGTAACATGTACAGTATACAATTATATAAACTGGAAGAAACACAACTGCCCTGTTTTGGCAAAGTTCATTCACTTTTTTTCTTTTTAAAGTATCAGAAATAATTTTAGGTGTGGAAAACGGCCCGATTAAACCTAATTTTGATATTGCATTGGAAATAACGATCCAGTTAGAAAAATATGAACATAAATACTGGCAAAAACATAGCAATACATAGATGAAAATTTACTAGATTTTTAAATAGTTGCAATCTAAAATGGATGATTTAACTAATGTTTTATGAGTCACTAAAAAATAAGATACAATTAATTATTGGATTAGAAGTGTGTATCGCTAAGGTAGTAATGTTATTTTATAAAACCACTTCTATGTTGCTCCATATTTTTACTAAATTACCATAAATAAATAACTCACACTAATCCTCTTATAGAACGTTGAATACATTTCAATAATATACATTACCAAAGTTTACTCAAAGTATCTAGTAATATTATCATGCTGTCAATCCTAATTTTTTAATATTTTTAATTTGAATCAATTTTTAAGTTAACCAAGAATACACTTTAAAAAGTGTATTCTAAACACTCTAAGTCGGTTAAAAGTAAAAAGACGGATATGCCTACACACTAAAATTATTATTATATTGAAAGTTGAATTTGCAAATCCAAGCTAATTTAATGAGTATATAGCATCATACACTGGCAATGTATATCGTATAGTTGACAACGATACATTTTTGACTAGAAAAATGGCAAGACTAAAACAAGGGGCTCAAACTATATGTACAATCCCTTTTTGATTTTCGAATATTTTGATTACGTCACTACTTACAAAATATTTTACATTTTACAGCATAAATGTTGTTGTTTTGAGCAAAATCAGTATTCTTACCTTAATTTTAATTCAATTATACTTCAATATTTTCACAAAACTTCAGCATATCACTTATTTGTACTTCAATTTAGAATAATTATTACATCAAGCTCATTACTCTAAAACGGTTTGTACTACCATGTACTACTTTAAACTACAATATATACAACAAAAAGCTTGATTATAATGTTTAGTAAAGCGGTTTGCTCCTTGAACTGAACAAAATACAATATATACTTTATAGTTAAAGATAATGTGTACATTTTAAAAGTTAAACATTAGGTGGGTGATGCGTTCTTAAATTAACAATCCAGCTTTTCTAAGCTTTGTTTCCCCGTAGCTTAATTTGATTACTTTATTTTAGAAACAAAGATTATATGGCGTAACATTGTCAGATGATGAATCAATTGTTCAGTTGAATACATCATTAATATTCATTCCCAAGACAGTAATTATTTTATGGGTGGACTATGAGATGCGAAATTTGAAGGTGTAATCATTAGTAGCATGAGGGTTAACATATTATGTAAAATTTTAAAACACATTATATATTGGACATCAACATTTTAAAAGTCATGCATTATGTCAAAATTTTGCATACTGTAAGAAAATTCCATAGGCAAAATAGGTTTAAAATGTGAACATATTGATTTACCTGTAAATGAATGATGGTGACAAATTAATGGTACGGCAATTGGAACGATCTTAAAAGTCAAAATTTTGTTTCAATTTCAAACGTTTGGTGGAGGTATTATTGATCTGTGGAAATACAGTGTATTATGATAACCTTACTACTGTAACCCTCATTTACCATTTTTAACCCAGCAATTTTTCACCAGCTCATTTTAGACAAACAAAGGTATCTTCGAAAATGTCAACACATCATGCTTTCTCCTGCACAAGGTTTACAGATTCCTCAGGCCGGGGCACGCTCATATTGAGCGGGGCTGTGTTTCCCGGGGTCGGTGAAATTGGTGGGTAAGCAGTGCTCGAACACTTCTTGAAATGCGTCCGCATGTTGCTGGACTGACTGAAGCGAAGACCGCATTTGGCGCACGCATACGGCTTCACGCCAGTGTGATAGTTCATATGCGTCTTGAGATGATGTTTCTTCGTGAACGACTTGTTGCAGACGCTACACGTATAAGGTTTGACACCCGAGTGGAGACGCATATGTAAAGTCATGTTGCTGCGGTCCGCGAACGCCTTGTTGCAGACGACGCACGTGAAAGGTTTCTCGCCCGTGTGGATGCGCAGGTGTTGCTTCAGCAACATTTTCCGCGAGAAGGACTTGTTGCAGTGTTGACAGACGTGGGGCTTTTCTCCTGTGTGGATACGGACGTGCATGTTGTAAGCGACTCGCTGGTTGAAACTCTTCCCGCAGTATTCACAGCCGTACTCCTGCAAAAGAATTTAGGTTAGAACGAAGAAAAAGGTATTAAGAAATTATCAATGACTCTAGCTTTGACTTATTTGTTAGTCAAAAGCTAATTACGAACATAATTAGCTTGCAAATTTTCGGCTTTTTGTTGTACTGTAAGTTAAGGCAGCTTATGCACCCTAAATTGATTAGGAAAATATATAAGCCCCCATTGGCTAGGTAAGAGGCCAGTCCGCCATGACAAAATGCCCAGAAGACACCTGGAAAGGTTGGGCGAGTAATGGAGATACTATCTTTAAAAAACTTCTTGATCGCCTATGACACGTGTCTTTATATTTACTACGTTAGATCCTATTTCGGAGTACAGATAAAAGGTACGTGATAAAAGAGGAGATTGTACTTTGACATAATGGGTTTACATGTTTTTGTGAAGGAAAACATTTTTTCAGGGTATTAGCATTAAGAATTCAGCTGAATCCAAAGCGTTAATTTTGATCAAAGACATCCTTAAGTCTTAAAACGAATTACCTTTCTGTTACGGTGTATCTTCATGTGTGAGCTGAGGTATCCTCTGTCGTTGAAGTATTTGCCGCACTCTGGACAAGTGGCTGCGAATTCTCTAGTGCCTTCGTGGACACTGCGGTGGTACTTGTAGTTCCTCAGCTGACTGAATTGCTTACCACACTCCAGACAGTGGAAGGGCTTCTCGCCCGTGTGCGTGCGTAAATGAACCTGGACAGGAACAATATAATGTTGAATGGAAACTGAAGTTGTAACGAATATGTCATATCAAGGTCTATGATAGATGAAAGGTATCTATGTAATATTGTCTCTAGCAAAAGTCATCATCCGGTAGTATTCATCGGGGAGTTATTATACATCGATGGTAGTATTATGATGTCCATAGAACTGTTACACAGTGTAAAATATTGACTGTGCAGTTGCAAAGCTGTTTACGCTTGTTGGAGACTCTTGGGACTGTTGAAACATGTGTTGAAGCCTCTTTGGACCTTCGTAATGCGTCATGTTATGCATGGGTTCACTAAACTTTTTCTTTTGTTTTATTACATTACGTGCTTTACTTTAATACAGTTAATAAAAAAACCCCTAACAGTTTATTAAATGATCTCTTGTTTGGTTCCAAAACTTTGAAATTATGATAAGAAATAAATATTTACATTTAAAACGAACTTTGAACTATACCGGAACTAGACCCGCTTAAAAGTCTTCTCAACTCACTTATAAAAGAGTATTAAGTATGTAAGATATTACGTAACATCCTGCAACCAGTGTTTTACTTACAAACCTATAATCTCCGCTCAAAATGTCAGTAACCTGTATTTTAATCACATAACACCCAAAAGTTGGCTCCTCAGAATTGTTACTAATCCCTTTTGACTCATACAGTATCCTATATGGTTTTCAAAAGGCAGTTGATCGTTGTAAAAACCTTCATAATCACCTCGTCCTCATTCAGTCCTTCGTTTCCTCCTTAGCGATTGAAAAATACTGGAACACCTCCTGAATAGCAGGAATCAATCACGACGACAGCGACCTCTAGTGACGAGCCATCAACCATCATCCATCAGTAGTAATGAAACGTCGCGGTGGACGACAGCGAAATGAAGATTGACGAAAATTATGATGGGAAATTAATTGTGGAACTGGAGTGCGTCCTTGGTAAGGAACGCAGCTGGTGGAGCGGTGACGTCATCAAATGGTCAATGGGAATGTGGTAGAACCAGGGGGCCGGAGGTGATTAAAGTCGGAAAAGTAACTTTTGGGGAGCAAATTGTAACCACTTAGCTGAATATGAAGAAGGATGTGGATTGCACATATGTGGAAAGTACTAGCAGAGATATGCATATAAAGATGCAACTCAAATCTTTAAGTTTCGTGGAATTTTTGGTGGTCAAAACTAGATTTAGCTATCATAAATTAAATATAGTATGAATTTGTTGTACTAGCTAAGTCATCTAGTAGATTTAAAATCATGGCTTAAAGAGGCTCCACACCTGGTGCCATAGGACTACCTACACTCAGCGCATTTGCCTTAAAATATGCTTATTCTGAGTAATCACTATGCAATTCTATTATAGAACTTTTGTGAGAATAAAAGGTTTTAGCAATGGTTAATTCGGCCATTTGCATACTCTACGCCCTAAATAATCTCTATGCACTCACAGAATATCTTAGACCATAGAATGGTTGATGTGATAGCCTACTTATTGATCAGACAAACTTACCGATGGTATAGAAACATAAGTTACAGGAGTACATAAATATTTTCTAAATAAGCAATGCCTTGAGGTGATAACGTTGCGGTACTCTTTCCCATGAAAATGAATCCAATTTACATGGAATAGTAATTAAAAATAAACGCACAACACAGCGATTATTTTAAACTTGATTGAATTAAAGGATGCGTTATCCTTGATGAATATACTCTATTTAAATATCTTAAACTAACTTACTTTCTGCAAAAGGAGTTTTAAGACCGTTTTAATTTTTAAATCGGCGATAACAATCAGGTCTGATGGGGTATTCCCACGAAATCGTTTGGCCTGCAGCACTCGGTGCATCTTTTAAAATTCAAATTTATAGTATTTTATTTGAAAACTTTGTCTTAATTTACACAGAGAGTGCTAATAATTGCTAAGACCGGTTTCAAAATGCGATTAAATAACTTGGGGAGAAATCTTGTCGACAGTGATATGTATACTTTAATGAAAGAGAAATAATGATAATTTCAAATGACTTAAATGCACCTTTTAGGCTGGGTTGCACATTTACAATCATACTGGACATTATTAAGTTTAATGGAGGTTCATTAGTAATTGTTTAAAAAATATATTGAATATATATTTTTTTCAAATACAGTGTAGAATGGGTGTTGAGTTAATCTGTAAAACAAGGTTATAGTTATTTTACGTATTGTACGCCTACCTGAGAAATGTCTTGTTTGTTTCACATTTCTAATAGTAGTACAATATTTACACAGAGTTTGAAAATTGGAAGAAGAGGATTCAGATGTGGAAAAGCCTAAAAACTTAATAAACTCCATAGAAGCAGTAGAAGTTGACTTCGGAGCGAGTGGCGTATTCAAGCCCTTCTCCAACTACAAAGATTAGAAGTATATGGACGGGGTTGCCCTTGAAGGAATGATTATTTGATTCATAATGCCATTGGTGTAGTCAACAGTAAACGGTTTAAAGCTACAGTATTTATGAAAGGGATCACTGCTGATTATATATGTGTACGACCAATAACAATAACACGTCTTAAATCTGCACAAGGCGCCGTTTAGTGACACAACAACTCTGCAAAGATATTAACTGGACTAAATAGGTTTCCCCCAAGGCTCGTGACTGGGCCCTTCTTTCTTTAATTGTTATTCAGTGTTCCTTGTCAATTAGACGGGGCGTGAGTTATCGTGTCGATAGGCCCTTGTATTCTGTCCCATCCTTGTTACACCTTATTTATGATTGCGCCGATTTGTTTACGACCTGTATGACATCACGTTGTTTATTAGAGTATGGTAATCGGTAATCGCGGTTTATTGTTCATTGTTTACATACGCGTGGTGATTTGCAGCAGCATTCCTCGAGTCATCGAGGCTAACAAAGCTAATTGGGTTGCGGTAACGTTGTTCTGGAGCAGGAGGATCTGGGTCATAAATTGGGATTGGTTTACGGGCATGAGTCGGCTATTTGCAGTTACATTTGAGTAATTTATTAGAGTGAAGAGGAACTCCTTTGAACTCTGTACCGTCTGTTTGATTTGTTCGTTAGTCAATTTATTTCTCCTTGGGAATTTTTGTTGAAATTTGTTCTATGTAGCTTTTTAAAAACGTTATTGACAATTTCTGGGTAGTATGTATAACTAGTAATTTGCTTCGCAACGAGTCGAACAGGAAGGCCGATGAGTTTGGATGTTTTAACTAAAAAATTCCTTTCCTGATCATAGAATCTTAGTTTTCCCACGAGTTTTATACAGCATTTTACTATCCATTCCACTTTCATTACTTGCAATAAAGAGTAATCAATAATTGAGATCAAATGTCAACCTTAGTGGCCTCTCAAGTAGCTTTTGCAAAAAGAAACTATAGATGTCGGAACTGCAGGCAACCCAATTTAATAATAGTATAGATCTACATGCCATGAATACTTCTTTCCATTAGGATTGAAACATAAATATTGATCGGCAATATTTATGAACCAAACCCTGCGACTTCCTAATTGGCCTTATTATTAAGTCAATAACGTTGTTTCTCTTTTTTATATTAGTTCTAATTATTTTAAACGGTTATACAGAGAGTTAGATTAAAGGTGCCAGTAATCTGCGACTACATGGTAAGAATCAAACTACTTTTCTAGTGTACCCACCTTGAGGGAGGCCCGGGTCACAAACGTCTTGTTGCAGTGAGTACAAGCGTGTTCCTGTTTGTTCTCCTCGTGTAGCTTGTGATGTGCTGACCACAGACTGCGCTGAGTGAACGTTTTGCCACACACATCACATGTGAGACATTGCTGAGACTGTCGGTGCTGAAGCAGCTCGTTCTCACTGTCAAACACTTTGCCGCACTCCTCACACCGCGCCTCCCCTGCAGTCGCACCCTCCGGACCTTCGTTGTTGTTGGAATCGTTCCTCCCATCCTCCGTCAGATCTGAACAAGAGAGTGATTTTCTTCTCTGGATGGTGGAATTCGAATCTTCCAAAAGACTCGCTAGAGTTTTCAAACCATGTAGAGGATTTATCTCGCTTGGGCTGAGAATCCTCGAGAGGTGGTCGGGAAAGAAGGGTCGCTCGCTGTATCTCTGCAGCCTGTCTAGGAGGAGAGGTGGTTTGAATTCTCTTGGGTCTTTTACACTAGGATCTTGGTAGAACTCCAGGCGTTCCTTGATAGGACGGTTCTCGTCGTTCTCCCGCTCTCTGGAGAGTTCTGAAGAGGAGTCGCCATCACTGCGAGAGGACGTGTCCAGGAGCCGGGGAGAGCCAGGAAGAACCCCGTTGGATTCCTGAAACATGTAGGATTACCATGAGTATTTTTAATCCAAACGATTTTTAAACTAGTTTAAATATACGACACTAACGATTGAAGAACGTTGCACTATACCAAAAATATCTTATGTCGTACTACTCTTAAAAAAGCAATTCAAATAGTATTTCTCTAATTGTGCTTTAAATCGTATAGATATGTGTAACGAAAATGCTTCACAGCAACAATGTTTGGCTCGTTTCTTACATGATAAGAATTACATACAGATTATTCAAACGTAATAACCTTTGCCCCTGTACCATCAGAACACTTTACCAATAACCACAGAGTCCAAACACATCTCGACTTTAAATAAATTTGTAATCAGACGTGAAAATAAATTAAGTAATTTCTTTAGGATCCATCTAACACCGTAGTCTTCTTGTAATATTACGATCATAACTTAAAACTCACCTACCTATTTACTTATCAAAAGTCCAAACACACCGCGGACATTCAATAGAATTATGAAATAAATAGAGGAATCGTAAGGATCAGCTCGAACGATGTCAAGGCGCTCGAGTACTTTACTATTAAACGGTTAAGGACGGCAGTGAAAGCCGCTTCTAATGACCACACGTTGGAGAGACATAACAATAAAGACACTGGTATTGTTGAGATGCGAAGAAGATTCCGCAGCGATTGTTTTGAAGGCCGGATTTCATGAGGCAGTCTTGTGTTCCTGTTTCTACGTTCATCGACAAAAACAAGGCCGTGATCTCCGACTCAACAAAAGAATTAGGTGGTATTCATCTCCTCTGTAAGTTTAAGGCTTTGTTAAGTCGGTTTCGCAACAACGAGGGTTTGTTAAACTTTAAATCCAAAATTGGGGACATGCCGAAGACTATGAAGTTTAATCTAGACCTGGAACTCATATATCGAGCCATGTAATGAACGATTGTTCTTTTTTGCCCTTTCCAGGTGGGTAAGCTCAACGTTCCAACCAAAATGAAGCAGCGGGTATGTGTATAGAGAACTACTAAGAAAGACTGATGTTTTTCCCAAACATTATATTTTTATAAATTTGTATTTTCATGTACTGAGTTTTACATCCAGGCCACTGGTATTTTATTGAATTCGAGGGACTTTAAGAGCCACTTGGGCAGAGTCCATGGGACCTTTTCAACATGAAAGACCTTACGTGACTACCTAATGAGATCTTTCTGATGAGCCATAAACTACCAAAATCAGTTGAGAAACCACGGACGAGTTCTCAGAGATTCGATTGGTAATTGGTAATACGTGTAATATATATTTAGAGTAATTGCAAAGAACGCACGATGATTTATTGAAGTTTAAAGTTGTGAGGTTTTGGATTGTTTTTTTTTCCAGGTTTGTCGGTTATGGAACACTGCCATGGGACAGCATCAGCGTAAAGCAGCGTTGTCACCGGACAGTGAAGTATGTATCTATTATCGCACGAGGCCATTAAATGAGGTAATTAACAGGCGACATAGAGAAGTCCACTTCAAGGTTGACGGGAGGCAATAAAGTGTCCGAGGAGGCATAACTTTACCCACACATGGATGAGGTGCAGATATACGAAGTGTGAACAGAATCAGGTGAAGTAGTTTATGGGAGCGATGGTGGTGTATTAAAGTTAGTAGGTGAAGTTCAAACTATTTGACTGGTTCTAAAAGTTGTCACGCAAAAGTTGAGCTGAAATAAACCGATTACACCTTCGAAAAGCTTTTTAACCGATGATTGGAATGCAATCAAAACATCAAAAATACAAATGTATGTGTATTTTGATTATTTTTAGTATGGAGGATACTCAATACATGTACGCAAAAGGTATAAAAAACCACAAAAATAACAGAAATATTCTTTGGCAAATATATTGAGCTGTGACACAGCGAACTAAAACTGGTTTGGCCACATCGAAGGACACATATTAAAATTTATTGATCAAAAGTATTTGCTATTCGAGTTGAAACAGCAATAATGTTAGGTTATAATGTTGGAAGCGTTAGGTGCTGCATAGCAATTAGGAAATCTGAATTATTAAACCATAAACACGAATTATAAGGTACACATTACGCAATCAAACGGATAAAGTAGTAAACAGACTGTACGATTTTGTTTGTAGAATCGTCTTTTGATTAATTTACAATCTCTAAATTCCTCATATTAAGTCGTTAGGTAGTTGTATTTACATAACACCTGGATCATCGTATAATTACTTATTCTTTTGTATCTAGTTTCGTTTACTAACAATAAATGAAAATACAAATCATACTAACATAATGAAAACTCCATCCAACATTTGTCAATACATAAAAACATTTTCAGGACGGTAAAAAATATATAATGTTAAAATTACGATGAATTCCAATCAGTCAATAGTAATCAACAGCGAAATCGGAAACTCAAAAATGTTTACAAAATTTAATATTCCTTGTATTTACACACAAATCACTAGTATGACCTCAAGCATGTCGTAAATTAAAATTCAAAGATACAACCTGATATGCTAATTTGACACTTACTTTACACCAGCCATGCATCAACGTTTGTATATCTCGTCGCCGGACAGCAGTTTACATTTCCCCGCAGAACCAGCCGCGTCGAATATGGTCAGATGCCAACATCCAGCAGCATCTAGCATCCCTGGCCCACAAATACCTAACGTAATGGCCTCTCTGTATGGTGAACGTATTGTGGAAGTGACTTATGGGACTTGCGTTGCCGGAGTCAAGGGTAATGCACACACAGGTTGTGAAGCAGGCAATGGCAATACAGTAGTTGTTTTGTTGGTAATTGTATTGGTTTGATTAGTTTTGAGGGAGTAAACGATTGATTAATACAATATGGATTCTCTGTAATTTGTGAGTAGGAACGTGGCTAGTGATAAGAGCAAAGATGCTCCGATTTATGTCCTGGGGGCACCGGTTAGTATCCTGTCAATCACCAATATGGATTCATTATGTGGTGAGGAAAAAAATCATGTGACTTGGAGCCTACCTTTAAAATGTAGGTTCACAGAATGAATACTAAATAGTTATTTTTAACCGACTTCCCCACTACCAACAAAAGGAGGAGGTTCTCAATTTGTTTGTGGCGATGTTTTTTTTTTTCTATGTATGTTCACCAATTTCTCTGTGATTCTTTTACCGATCAGTGTGGTTCCACCACCAAAATAACCAGGAGAGTTTTTATTTGGTACCTTATATATTATGTTTAAGTATAATATTTGTTTCTGTGAAAAATTCTGAAAACCTTAAATATTCAACATTTATTTTGTTTACATTTGTGCAGATTGTTTACATTTGTGCAGAGAAGGCAATAAATAATAATAGCATTCCTACAGCTGTTAGTTGAAACCATTTAAATGAAGCTACAGACAATTCTTCATGAAACAGTTGCTTCATATTGATCAATAAACTATTTCTTGCCATGGAGCCTAAATGAATTACATTGAGAAAAATGCATTTTGTTTTGGTTACTATAAAAAATGTATTTTAACGTTTGGCCTGATTTGTGTATACAGTAATTCTGTTTTTAGTATTGAATATTCTGACTTACAAAAACATATATGTTTCAGTGAATAGCTGTATGATATTGACAAATAAAGGTGTATTGTGAAAACCAAAGCATTCGTAAAACAGGTCTAAATATAAATCAAATGCAATTATTCCTTACACGACCTAAGAAGTGTGACAGTGCATAATCGTCAATTGTCTTAAAAGTGTTAAATATTTTAATTACTAAACATGCATTTGCAGATGTGGAATGTTTATTGATATTCTCTACCCAGTTACTATATCATATCAATACTCTTATGCCTGCTTCGGAAAGTCCTAGAGGAAGATGATTTGCAATTTCGACTAGGCTATATCTTGAGCAAACAAAACCCCTTACATGACTTACACCACTTTTAGCTGAACCAATCTTTCATATAATATTTTCCAAAGGTACTATACGAAAGGTACCATGGTGTTAACGACCAATTTTCCACTTTTGAGAGATTTTTTAGTGCTGGTAGCTGAGGAATAACTTTCATATTGTTCCAAAAGGCTTGAGACGTTACTGTATTTCTTTTTATAATGTAGAAGTACACCGATTGGAGGAAACGATGATGTCTGACATTTCAATGTATCTAGAAAAGACAATTAGTTTCTCATTAGGCCTAATGTAATGGACAACTCTCTCTTTCTTAAGGAATATCTAAAGATGTTTATTTCCATACCCATTGATTATGTAACCTGAACAGGTGACTCAAGCAGTTTTAAAATAATGATTGTTCTGTGGAACTTTTGATTGTTTCAAACAGTTTTGCTTATCAAAAATCCTCAAGTAATTAATATTTAAAAAATTATACAGTCACTAAAAATCGTAAAATAATTTATTTTTGTAAAAAAATACAACCGACTTCAAACGCTCTAAAAAGAATGAAATAATTTCAATAAAGTAAACTTTTGTATTAGGCAAGCTCACGTATTTCAAGTCGGCGCGGCTCAAACTGCAATTATGATTGAAATTAAATATTGTGTGTGTATTTTGAAAATCAATAAACTGTAGCTGGATAACATAAATATATAAAAAACATACTGAACTGTTTTGTTTATATATTAAAGGAAATATTTTCTTGTATTTTATGTTTACTTCAGAATAAATGCATTATGAAAATAACACACACAAATGTTCTATATGAATAGGAAAATAATTTAGTTTGATATTATGGTAGGGAAAAGAAGCTACTAGCTAGTTTAGTATTAAAACGTTACTTTTCCAAGTTAGAAACATTTAAATGCGTTATAATCTTTTTAAATATACTCGTTAATACCACTATAATGCCGATCTCTGATTACGGTAATCAAATAACACTTAACGCATAACTATGAAAAAGACATGCAGATTAACACCTTTAGTTATAGATAGTCACCTGCAATATGGACACCCTCTTTCAATTTTGCATCAAAAATCATCATAGAGCCGCGCCGACTTAAAATACGTGAGCTTGCCTAATACAAAAGTTTA